GACGCGTATGACTCGTGACCGAGTTCTTCAGCTGTCCCGAGACCTGGGAAATGTGACTTCTCCGGTTTCTGGAGACTCTATGGATGCCTCATGTGAGGCAAACCATGTCCTCTCCAGAAACCCAAACAAGAAACCATGGGAAACAACATGAAGAAACCCAAACAAGGAAGACTTTTTCAAGACAAAGAGTTCATCAACCGCGATGTCAGGACCCCGATGCACCCGCTGGATCTTTAAGCTTGACAACCAGAACCATGAATCACATGGGTTTGTACTGTATTTTCATGGAGAGACCTCCTAACCAAGTTTTGGTCGATTTTCCTTCTTCCAGGGGTCTTGAGGATATCTTTAATCACCCACATCAACATCCTCAGGCACAAGCCTTTCGACACCTCTTCGTCCTTTCAGGGAACCGACATCGAAGGACGAAGACACCTGGTCCGATGGACACCTGGTCTTCGCACCGGTTCGTCACCTTGGAGTTCGAACGTCACAGCGGAACGATGGTCATCCAAACGGCCCATGCCATCTACGACTCAGGTAGTGAACGCCATCCCACCCAGGCGACCCTAGCACCCTAGCTCTATAGAACGGCTTGGCTCTTGGCCGACCGGGTTTCACCTCCGCGTTTCGGGACAGCTCATCGCGGCGAACCAGCGGCGAAGCAGTAGCTTCTTGGAGTTGGTTTCCTGGAAGATGTTCTGGGTACTGCATTTGTTAAGCACCTCATTATGTCCAAATATGTCAATCAAACAAGTGCCTACACAAATCATACAGAGTATGTTTCACAGCACAGCCTAAGAGCCTGCCTAAGAGCTCGGGATGTGCGTGCCACTGCAAGCGGCTGAAACCTGGTGAAAAGGCTGCTCAGTGGCCGAGTTGACTTGATTTTGCCATCGTCGTTCTGTGAGAAACATGTCCAACATGTGAAGGAATCATTGGCGATCGATGGCGGTGACGATGCTTTCTGTGGTTTACATCAGCGCACCTTAGGGCTCCAGTCGTACCTCCAGAGAAAGTATTTGGATCCGGCACCCACCCCAGTCCCACCTTCTTTCTTGGAGCCCTAGGGACATAGAATATCAGGTTTACACATCTTCACAGTTTGGGGTTACTTGCATGTGATGGTACGCAAGCGTGACCTATGAGTACAACCGAGTACAACTCAAACAAACCCAGGACAGAATTGAGAATCTTCAAGAAACAATTAGAAACACAATCTTTGAGGGTAATTGAAAGGCTTTTGGGGGGGACATCCTAGAAGCCATTGACTATGAAATGCAACAATGACGAACATTCGATGCCCCTCGTGGAAGGTTGTTCAAGCCTGGAAGATTGTTTGCAGCTACCGTGTGGCCGGTGGGGCTACTAGGAAGGCTAATGGGGTAAATATTACATATACTATAAACTACTATCATAATATCATATATATACAATAAACAGCTGCCCACGGCTAATTGGAACTAGCAAATTGTTTACACCACTACTTATGAAGTAGCACCCTGGGTGGATCATTGAATTACATCGTTCATGGTGCTGCCTTTCGATCCAAATGTTTTCGTTTTTAATAGTGGTGAAGTTTCTGCCACGATGTGTTCCAAATTGTTGCTGCATTCATTTCGCCTGGTTGTTCCCCTTTCGTCCTCAGCCAGATCGGCTCCACTGGCAGTATCTACTTCTTCAACCAAAAATATACAAAATGGCGGGCGTGATTAAGCAAGAGCTCGCAAACACACACACCATCATCCCAATGGGATTGCATTTTGTGGCTTCGGAATAGACCAAAGGAATAGACTCTCTGCTGGAAAACGTCCAATGGCCGTGGGACTTCTAGTCCAGGCGCCCCTGCTCCATAGCAGCATGGACACGTCCATCGGCTGCAGGCTTCGACTGGGCGGTGCGTGCGGTGCGCCGGCTGCGCCGGCGTCTCCGTGCGACTGGGCGATCGGAGTGATGGTTCGAAGGTGAAAAACCGTAGATCGAATTGAATATTGATTGGGTCTATCTCATTTCCAGGGCCTGGTGGATGGTTCAGTTGCAGGCCGACAGTTCAAAAATCATTGTTTTACTGACTGTTAAACAGGTATAGGACGAATGTTGATCCAATTGCAACCCCCATATCAGGAGCCGTTGCAATCCAAATGAGGAACTGTTAATCGCTGTTAATCAACAGTCTACATTCTTGTAGGTCTTGAGCTGTGTGGGTAGTTAGTAAGGAAGCAAAGAAACAACTCACTCTGTGCAAGCTGATCATCGCGTTATGGCCTTCAGTGTTACAGAACATGTCAGAATTTGTTGGAACCAAGCGATTTCCCTGAAGGTCCATGTCCAAGAAACTGCGGCAGGACGGCTTGACGATGTCCTTTACCAGGAGCCCTTGTTTCATGAAACATATGAAACATATCCTGTCAGTGCTGCGATCACTGACCTGGCGACATCCATATCCTGCAATCAAACCACATAGAAGTCGTGAATCTGTTTGTTGTACAGAAGTGGTGTGCCTTCTAGTGCACTGAGGACTGGTTAGCTAGAGTTATAGAAAACATTGCCAGCTACATGACAACTAAATAAACTTACTTCTATTTATATCTATTTCTTGTTTCTAATAGCTTCTTGTTACTAGTAGTACGGCCAGGAGCCCCTAGTAGCGTCCTTGTTCCTGTAGCGATGCCAGGAGCCCCTAGTAGCGTCCTTGCTCCTAGTAGCGATGCCAGGAGCCCCTAGTAGCGTCCTTGCTCCTAGTAGCGATGCCAGGAGCCCCTAGTAGCGATGCCATTTGCTCCTAGTTGCTTCTTTTGGCCTGGCAGGTTGAAATCAACTTTCGGACGCAAGAACCCCATCCGCGCTCGACCCGCCTGTTTTGCCCCTCACAGTACAGCTGCTGCACACGGTGGGCCAAACGTAGGTCCTGACCGTTGTGGATGAGGCACTCTCCGTCTGTGCGGAACTCCCTGGGATTGGTTTCTGGGATCTGGGTAGAACAAAACCATCTGGTCAAATATTTCACCTTCGATTTCGCGCACACTCACTTATTATACCTGGTCAATTTTTTAAGTTTGCACCTGGAATTTCAATATTTGTTTCCTTCGACTTGAAGAGTCTAAACCAATCATGTCCAGATGAATGCAGTCTCGCACACGACCAACAAAATTGCGTACCCTCTGACTCACCTACCATACGAACCCACCCTATATTAGACCCTATATAGGGACCTTGTTTGTTTAAAAATTGTCTTCGTGGCGACGTGCAACTTCTTCTTGAACGCCTTTGCCATAGCATCCCCTCACTCGTTGTTTTGCATCAAATGCATCCAAAAGGGCGCGTCATGAAACCCAGCCGCTCTGTCGCTCCGCCGCGCGAGTTCGGCCTTCTGTTGGGCTTTCGCCATGGCCCAAAGGCACAACGACAGATCCTCGACGCATTGAGAAACTGCACATCTACAAAGGTCTGGGAAACCAAGCGGTAGCACGGTAGAGAAAAATATGCAAAAACTGAATGCATTAGATTACACACTGACCTTTGGCCTTTGCTTAGGCGGGGTTGCAACATATATGTGTATGAAAATATGAAAATTATATATTATATATATAGTACTTTTATTAGTATATTATAATATATCCGCCGACGGGGGAGGGCCTCAGAGGACACCACCCTGGGATGCATAAGGGGTTTATTTGGTGTGATGGGGCCCGAGTTACAGGTCGCTCAGAAGGCTTCTAAAAGCTCAGAAGGCTTCTAAAATTCTGTCAAACAACAATCTTCAGTCGTGGCTTCGGTCAAACAGTGTGACGCGCTCAAGTTTCATGCACCACACCCATACAATCTCCACAATGAACCTAGACGGTTGAACTGCCGCTAAAACTAGATGCAAAGAATCTGTGTCGTCATAGCACCACACGGCGCCCGGATCATCATGACTCCAACCGCACTGAACATGAACCCCAAACAATGCCAGCTTCCCTCCACGCACATATGTTTCAGGCGCCTTGTGGCCAAACATCATGATTTGTGACTTGAATGGCAGCCCCCGCTGCATCTGAAAGAGTGCAGCGACTCATCACCACTCCACTCCAGTGCATGTCGCCAGAATCCAACGCCCAACATACATCGGTAAATCATGTCACCAAGAGCTCCACCGGTGGCGTAATGGTCACTTCAACGTGCCCTTCGATCTTTAACATATAGTCGTCTTGGATGGGGTATGTAGCCTGTGCTGTCTTATCTTTGCTATACACATCTATACACGATATGAGAAGATAAGACATGTGTTACATTTAGTTCTATGGTGAAATTCTGACTGAGTCACTGAGCGAGTCTTGAATGAAGGATCAGGATCAGCGTCTCGTTTTGGGAAAAACCTGATGCTTGCCGGTACAGTTGAATAGCCTGTATTGATAAGAAATGAGAGCGCTTTTGGCAAAAGAAGGTTTCCACACTTGAACATCGCAAAGCTTTGGATATAAAACTTAATCCTTGTGACAACGATTGTGAACTTGACTCTTCCCACCGTTTCGGGCCGCTTTTGCGTGCAGGTTTCAGATGAGCTATGGGCTAAGAATCTTGAATTTTTGTCTGAACAACCACAATTGGCTGTTGGAATCAAAAGGGGGTCGGCAGCACCAGGGTGTCAGCCCGTTCTATCTATCTTTTATCTAATTCCTGGGAACACGATGTCCTCCTGCGATGTTGTATCACCAGTCTCCATGTCTTCAAACATGATCGATACTGAGCTGCGCCGCGGACATGCCCCCCAACAAACACATCCGCAGAATCTCAGGTGAAGGACCGGAACATCACATCAACTAACCCAGACACTCCATGTCTGTCATATATGCCGATCAATTGGGGTGGTTTCGTGGGTCAATTGATATGCGCATATATATGGCAGTCCCAAACGGGTCGTGTCTGGGGATGTAGGAACTCATCACTTGATCGAGGAACTCATCACCGTCCGGGTCCCCCATACGGGTGGCCCGACGCGGTGGCTGTAGCCAACGATGTCACGCCTCGCGACGGAGGTGGATCCGAAGGATCCGACGTGATGATCTGCGGTGAACGGCGGGACATAGGTCGGGGGGTCATATACAACAGGAGCGTATGTCATAATAGAAACCATGTGACCTCCTCTTTGAGAAAAGAATAGACAATAAGAAAAGGCCATGTTTGGGATAGATCCTCCAAAAAAGGGGGTCACTCACACTCTGGTTCTAGATGTTCTAGGAATGTACATCTGATTCTACAGCAGCAAACAGTCCAAAATGTCCAAAGAACAGTCTTTTTTGAATACATGTATTTTCCATGGTGCAATCATTGTAGCTAAAGACAATACTTCAGATATTGTTCTGGTCCATTGTGCAGCTTGCAGTGCTTTGGAGAGTACTATGTAGGTGCTTGATTGGTGCAGTCCCGAAACCACCAGCTGGGGTGGTGGAAAATAAACTCAGCTACTCGTGACTAGTAACTAGTAGTTTCTTGTTATGTCCGTAGCGATGGCCTCCAACCTACATGCGATGGCCCCCACCTAATAGCTTCTAGCTACTTTCATCCAGAATGATGCCCTTGTATGCCCTTGTTACTTCACGGCCTCCCTTACCCTCCAAAAGTCTCTCCCAACTGCCTGACACGGGCCCAAGTAGATGCCAAGTACCACCGTAGTTCATGCAGGACTATGACTATAGATCCACTCACAGATCTCACATATTGAACAATATTCTACAATCCCAGATTCGCTCCATCTGAGGGCGCCGACACGATCTCTGGAACCACTTCGTTGAAGAGAGGCCCCTCCCGGAGTTGCAACCTCCGACCGTCAGCGGTTGTCGACGTTTACCATGCATGGCAGGGGGCGATAGTCTGCGTCGGGCGACTGCGTGGGCGTCGGCGTCGATAGTTGGCGACGGCGTGACACGCTTAAAAACGACACCAGGAGTCACAAAGGGGTTGCTTTTAGTACCTTAAGTGAGTGGATGTCCTCGGCACACCTATCCTCCAAGTTAGGCACCCCTTCGTGACTGGCGAAACAATCCGAAACATAATTTGCACTTGCTTTGACCCCTCACGATCCCCTGAACAAATCATCCATAGAGCAGTCTAAGAGTCTAAGACGCTTGTCGCGAAAGCACCCACGCCAGCTGCGGAAAGGCCGCCTGGCGAGGCTCATCAGTGCAGAGCTCAACTGCTTCGGGGCCATGCTGTTGCGCTGAATGCTGAAGGCCTGGCATGGCGGTGGCCGGCGCCAGCCGTTTATTTGGCGCTGTCGCGGTCCACCGCAGGGCAGCACGATTGGTGATGGAAATCCGCCGGCGCCTGCAACGGCACCGTAGACACACTCTGACATTGGTATTCAGTTAACTCAGTTACCACGATGGGAAGGATGGCGAAGAACCGCAAGGTGAAAGAGTCAGCTGAAACAGTATGGTTGAACATGGTTTCCACAGGTGCAAGTCTGCAGAACGATCTGTCGGCGCTGCTCAGCGGCAAGTGGCAAAAAGAAAAAAGGTTTGAGGGGTA